GCCATAGTCATCTGGCTTAGAGAGATGGGCTGGACCAATCAAATTCCTTTGCTCAGCAATTCAAACTAAGAAAGATAGAGACGATGCATTTACCTGCTAGTTGCAAGATCCCCAGCTGAATGGTCCTGCAGTCGAGTTGGACATGGGGAGAACTTGCCTGGATGGAAGGGCCTGCCCATGGCCCAACATAAAGAAGCAGATGAGAGGTGTGTGGCCATGTCTGACCAAGGTGAAGGGCCAGAATGAAGGTCCCCAGATCCAGGGGTGTCCCCGAGGGGCTTGGCCTGATTATAGCTCCATGAAGATCTCAGGATGGACTCTGTTTTAATAGTGCTGGCTGAGTAGGAGCCTCTTTATTGTGACCAGCTGAACCCAATCCTGGTATTTAGTAATCTTCTACAAGATGCCATCTGATTGCAGATCTCTGACATCAGAGCGAATCAGCCTGGCCGCGGCTCTAGCTTGGAGTGGGGCCGACCGATGGAACCATGGGGCTGATTTGTGTGGTTACCAGGCCTGTTTTCTTAGGGTGGTGGGGGAGGTATATGATTCTGGGAGGAGCCTCTAAAAGAAACACTTAAGACCTACTCATAGGTAAGTGACAAATGCTTCTTAATTCAGAAATTTCCTCCTGGGGTCAGCATATACATAACCATTCAACAGATATTCATTGGATGCGGTTGACGTTCAACTCATTGTGCTACGTGCTGAGAGTGATCCAAAGATAGAACATTCATGAAGCTGTTGTTCTAGACTTAAAATTTTGAAAAAAAGCATGCACTGTAGAAATCAAGATAAAAAGTGATCATTGTCATCAAGATGTACCAATAAAACACCATAGGCATTCAGAGAAGAAACCAACCACTTCCTTCTGGAAGGATAATGTGAAATGTTGAGGCCAAGGTGATATTTTGTCTGGCCCTTGCCCCCTTGACCGACAGGTAGCAGTTGGTGTTTAGCTGGAGAGTGAGAAGAAAAGGAAAGAATCTAAAGTGTAGATGCAGACTGAGGCCAGATCTTAGGTGATGAAAAATATCAAATGTGGAATCTGAGTTTTATTCTGAGAGCAATGTGATGTTGCTGGAGGGTTTTGAACAGAACAATGGAGGGCAGAAGTAGCCTTTAGAAAAACTACCACAGATTGTAGGAGGGAGGGAAGCCCTAGTGAAGCGTGAGGAACTTTCCACATCTCACCGAGTTGTGGGGAGGGCGCGCTTCCCACCCCGGGGCACATTTACTTCTGTTCCCTCCCTGGGGTCTAAAGGAGCTTTCCCCTCACTAACAAATTCCTTTCCTCCTCCTGACAGACCCCTGCCTCCCTCCACCGCAAAACATTGCCAAATGGATTTAATTCAAATTCTATGTAATAAAAGCATAAGGGCAAAATAAATGAGAATGCTTTAAGTAACATGCTCTGGCATCTCATAAAAGCCTCTTAAATTGATGACATAAGAGCGCATGGTGTAGACTCCAGAAAAAGGCGGGTTTTATGGGAACTCTGGCAGAGCCCCAAAGTGGAGTCGCGCTGCGGTGGCTGCAGTCATAACTCTTCCTCTTATCACGTTTTGTGCTTGGGATGCTGCACCCTGCACAACAAGTTTCCCTTCCCTAACCAGGGCATAGGTTTAAAAACAAAAACCCGCAGTCGTTAGCAATTCCAGGCAGCTCTGACCAGGCTCATTATACCCGGCATCTTGGCTGCTAGAATCCTGAGGTCTGTTTTGCAATGATTGTGAAAACCAGGAATGTGAATGAGTTATCCCAAAGTTGAGAAAGATCTGTTTTTGCACCAGCCTGGCAGCCCTGGGGGGCTGGTTTTGCACAGCGCTTAGCCGAATCTGGTATTCAGTACAGAGGAAAATGATGGCACTATTCTTCCCGCTGGAAAACTTCTCCAGAGGTGGAAAAGATTTCTTTCCAATCCCACACTGGAGTCTTCTCTTGTCTGTCCAATCCTCTTCTACAAGATGCCATCTGAGGCAGATCTCTGCACTCCGAGCAAATCAGCCTGGCCACAGCTCTGGGCTGGGCAGGGCTGACCAATGGAACCAAGAGGCTGACCCGTGCCACCTGCACCTGATTGCTGAAAAATTGGTTTGAGAGTGGGAACACATGGCTGGGCTGGGAAATAATTTGTGACTCACGGAAGTGGAAGATCTTTTAGGCTGGCTCTCAGACTATAAGAGAGGTGATGCACTACAGGTCAAGTTCAAGAGGTGGATTGATGTGTTCTCTATGGATGGTTCAGATTGAGGGTTTGCAAGACCAGGAATAACTCCCATGGTTTGGCTGTACCCTGTAGGGTAGGAAGACATTTCCTCTACCTGCTCTGGGTTCTTCTGGCTGGAGAACAAATTAAATTCACATGAGACTGAATAACAGGAGAAAATTAAACAAAGCTTTATAACATGTGTACATGGGAGAGGCTCGGGCGAACTGAGCAACTCATCAAAATGGCTGAAGCCACCACCTTAAATATCATCTTCAGCTAAAGGCAAAGGTGGATGTTGGGGGTGGAGGGGGAGTCGATCATGGGAGCTTACCACGCAAGTATAGTAAACAAGAGTCAGGTTATTATGCAGACTTGAGTCCTTGCCTTCAATAAGAGTTTCTAGAGATAAGGTCATCCCTCCTTCCTGGTACAGAGAGGGAGACACCTTTACAGATGGAGATTTCCTTTACAATGTAAATGTCTCTTAACAAAGGGTAAGTAAATTCTACTTCTCAGAGTTTCTTTCCTGTCTGCAGTTTTTAAAAGTAATCAGCCAAAAATAATCCTCATGCCAAAGAGACATGTCTTGGGGTAGCCAATTCCAGTCCCCCACAGCCCACACACTCATCAGTACATCTTTGTAAGTGTGTGTATCTTCTGGTTCATATCTTCTTGGGAAGTAGATCTAGTCCTTACGGCTAAACTAGGAGCTTTCTTTTCATAAAATGACCTGTATTAGTTTGTATTATTTTCCCCCAGAGGGTAAGATTTATCCAGTAAGCCTAAACTCCTCTGCTTTTTCGTTTCTTTCTCCCTCACTCCCCTTTCCTCCCTCGTTGCCTCCCTTCCCTCTTTCTTTCTCTCTTTCCATACTAACTGAGAGTCCACTAAATGCCACTCTGCTATGGGCAGGGGGTCAAAAATGAACAAGGCTCAGTCCTGGTCAGCCCAGAGCTCACGGTAGTTCAGGTGATTCTCAATCAGGCATGCACATCAGAATCACCTGGAGCACTTAACAAAAGATTCCTGGGCCCTACCCAAGACCTGCTAAATTAGAAGCTTCAAGGATGCAGCCTAAGAATAGGTATTGTGAAAAAAATCTTCCCACGTGACTTTGTTTTCTAATCAAGGAGAAAACCACCAGCCTGTTGGAGAAAAATAGTTACAATGCTATGTGATAAGTGCTGAAATAGAGGTATGAACACAGAGCTGTGTCAGCATGGAGGGAACTCCTGATTCAGTTGTTGGAAGAGGGTTGGTGATTGGGGAAAACTTCATAGAGGAAATGCTTGAACTGGGTCTTGAAGCATGAATAGAAGTTTGTTAGGAGTTACAAGAGCAACTTTTAGACAGATATGTATACATGAAAGGAAAAATAGCTCATTGCAAGGGGCTCCATGCATCCCCACATGGCTGGAATGGAGTGGACAAATGGGAAGTGCTTTATGATGTGGCCAGAGAGTTGGGCAGGGGCCAAATGATGCTAGCTTTAGAGGTCCTGCCAACTCATTTGTATGTTTCCTTGTAAGCCATAGGAAAACTCTGAAGAGTTTTAAAGAGGACATAAGATTCACATTTACTGTTGAGAAGGATAAACTAGGGGCAATGTTGTGAGGCTGAAGCAGGCCAGATCAGCTAGGGAATTGCTGTATTAATTCAAAAGACAGACCCAGCATCCCTTATGGCTCAATATTGTGAGGACAAGATGGCTTTGTCAGACACACAGGTTGTACTCTTTACAGATAAGTCCCAGTTCTTCAGTTTCTATTTATTCCCATGGAAATTTAGTACTTTTCCTATAGCCCCATTGCTCCATCAACTACACACACTTGGTGTGAAAAAGGGGTTTGTAAGCCTCAACTAATACATTCACCACTTTCCAAACCCTACCCCCATCCCTGTCCGTGGTCTGCTCAGGATATACCAAGAATTCGTTGATCAATTCAGGCAGCTAATGACGGGAGAAAGAAATCAATGCCTTTGCTTCATGTAAAAGATGTTTTCAAAGAAGCACAAGCTTTCATTTCATGGTTAAATCAAAAACAGCTTGTTAAATTTACTGTCTTGTGAACACATCTCCTTCTTTATGTTCTTTACCCCAAACGTACAGAACTGATAAAGAAAACACACGTGAACAAAAAACTCAGAAGAATAGAAGAGCATTCAGGGCTCATAAACACAGTTATTCAATAGCTTGATGATGACTTTTAAATCAAATGCTTATCTAGATCCAAGAAATTTGCTCGAGTCTGCATTAAAAAGCTTTGTGACCTAAAAAGTAGCAAATACAGAAAGGGTAAGTTCAAAACTTCAAATGAATGAGGTTAAAGCAATCTCTAAGAAAAAGATGCTAAATGGAAAAGCAGATTTGTTTAAGAGCCAAATACTGACCAAAACAACTAAAAAACTATGGATTACACATTGTGATTGCATGTTACAAATGAATGCTTTAAAGTGTGACAATAGGTAGTGGTGTTTATAGTTTATGCTGGGTTTACAAATTGGTCTGTGCATTATTTTGTACTCAGGTGCCTTATAAAGTAACTTGGTATAAGAAGTGGATTTATAAGCTTCAACCAATATACTCACTGCTTTTCAAACCCTGTTCCTCTATCTTGAAGAATATCAAAAAGCAGCAAAAATGGACTGAAAAATGCCTGGAGACTGACATTAAGCTCATGAGCCTAAATTGTGATTTTTATATGCAGAAACAATGATGAAATCATCAGAGGTCAAAACAAGCCACAGAGCCCTAGAAAAGCTATTAACAATTTAGCATTTTCAGATCATGAGGAGATTTTAATTCCGTTTACCAAAGATACGTGCAGAAATGGTATTCATGATGATTAAGACCTGTAACTATAAAAATGTGAAATTTATAGCATCATAAAATGGTTTGTATAAAATGCAAATATCCCAGCTGGGTGGGACGGCCGTGGAGGTCTCAGTTGGGCTCCTGCCTGAGCTCATTACCATTCTGAGTTCAGCGTGGGCATTGGTTTTTTAAAAAGGCAGCATGTTATTCTTAAGTAGCTTCTTTGATCATCTTCTGAGCATTGTGATGGCCTCTTCAAATGGTGAACAGCTGTGCAAGGCAAACACATAAGCAAAGACTATGTTAATTTAGGGGGTAAATTAGGGCATTTTCCTATGTTCTTATGACTATAAAATAGTTCGTTCAAATTTTAGTAAATTAATGTCATGTTATCTGTTATGCATGAGGAGCCAGAACCTCTAAGATCACGTGTTTATAGACAAAAGATTGGAGGAGGTGTAGGAAACTGCAAGATAAGGGAAAGCAGAAATGGAAAAGACAAAAGGTGGGGGTGAAGTTGGCACTCAAAGGAGAAGGAAAGGGGGAACAGACGACATGTAGGCATTGATTCCAAAGCACGGCCAGATACTGAGCACTGGAATTGGAGCCTCCTGAGCAGATGTAATTATCCCTGAGAACTCCTTCCATCGACCCCATCCTTTAGTCAATCTAATTTAGACTAATTAGTCACAGTCCCCTCTCTGGGAATTAGCCCTTCCTTTAGTTCCCCTGGAAGGAGCAGGTCTCGGCAGCCTTCGGTGAGTCCTGTGATTACTGAAGTTCATACTTCCAGTCATGCCCCAGCCATAGTCAGGAAGAGACATAAGGGTAATGCGATGGGGTCCTGCCTGCCCATCCCACCAACACCTCCACACTCTTGTACTTGCCATTTCCTCCACTTAGTGTTGGGACACACAATCCTTTCTGCATAAAGGCCAATTTTGGAAAAATAAGTATGCTTACATTTCCCCTTTTCTAATAAAAATAGCATTATTGCACACCATAGAAACAAAATATGTTTACAATATGGATAATCTACTTTATTTCTTAGGAGAATCTCAGTGAGAAAATTGGCACTGACACAAAATATAATATCTGTATTATATGTATATGAGAAGTGTATATAAGAAGAAAATGGAGACAACTTTCTAATCCATCCTCCCGGAACTGGATTGTAGACTACAGTAAACTGGGCCCCATAAATAAGGTCACAATTGCTTGAGACAGTCCCCATGTATACCTGTTGTATCTGTAGAATTATTAACAGTGCCCCACCGCCAAGCTCAAAAGCATCCCAGTTTGGATGACATGGTCATACTACCCACGAGGCATGCAGTCTCTGGGTTGCTCTCCACTGACTCAGAACAAGGAGACAGCCTGGAAGTCCTGTGCTAGAGGAGGGTCTTTGGGCCCTGGAAGCAGCCAGCCAATCTGTATCCTAATATTAAGAAACATTTGTTCTGCACTTAGAAAGCCTCAGGCTGAGCTGGGGGCTAGAAGAACATCAGAAACATCTCTGCCCTTGAGGAGCTCAAACTGGTAATGATTGGGGTGTATCGGTCAGCAAAGCAGACAAAGATCCCTCCCTCTGTGGACGTTAATTCCAGCAGGAGGAGACAGAGAGTGAACTATATATGCAATAACTGTGTATGATGTAATATGTTAGGAGGTGACAAATGTCATAAAAAAAATAGAGCAGGTAAGGAGATGATGAGGGTGGTGGTGGGGAGGGATCCGGGTTGCAGGAGTGAAGGAGGTGTTCAGGGGAGGCCTTTGCTCTCCCCCCAGCTTTACTGAGATATAATTGACATATAACATTGTGTAAGTTTAAAGAGTAGAACAAAATGATTTGATATACGTCTAGGGTAGACCTTAAGGGGAAGGTTCAATATCATTGAGACGTTACCTCATTTGACTGCCCTGTATGGCTAACTAGACGGTAGTGATTTCCATGGTGGCTCTCAGACTTTAATGGCCATTCAGATCACTGGGAGATCTTGTTAAACTGTAGATTCTGACTCAGGAGGTCTGATGTGGGGTCTGAGAGCCTGCCTTTCTAACAAGCTCCCAGTGCTGCTGCTGCTGTGTTGTCTTTGTTCAATGTGAGCCCCAAGGTGTTGGATGGTGAGCTGAGGTTAAACAGAAGAACATAAAGGAAACTGAAGTAGGTTTATTCCTTACAGATCCTGGAGGAGTACACCTTGAGGGGCCTCCTCGAGGGGCCATGTGAGGAAGCCATGGCAGGGAATAAGCAGAGAGCACATCAGGACCTCGGGCACGAGCTTTTATTAGGGTCTGTGGGTGGAGTGATTTGGGGTTCCCTGTCTAAGGCATGATTGGTCAATTCAAACCCAAAACAGCAAATTTTAGTAAGTTTCATGGGGGCCTTATCTAAAGGGTGCACAAAGGGAAGGAGTCAGGTCAGGAACTTACATTTACTTGTGACCCTGGGGGCTGTTATCCAGGTCATCTGCTTGCATGAGGGTCAGTTGAAGGCCCCTGCAGGCCGCTTGGCCGCACAAAATTGATGCTGAGGCAGCCATATCACGGAGGAGTTTCATTAAACTCTCGATGTGCTGGGTTTCAGACTACAGTTGGAGCAGCAAAGACCTCCAGAGCAAGGATCACAGTTTCCATTTCTGTTGCCACTTCCCACGCAGCCAGTCCCCCCTGCATTGTCTAAACAGGTGCTCCACAAACACGTGTTGAATAAATGAACTGAGAAAAGTGATGTAACAGATGTCAAGTAGGATTAACGAATAGCTGAGCCTGGATGATTGACTCTTTCGATGGATTCCTTTTCAGAAGCAGTATCTCCTCACAATTACGTTCTTTCGCATTTTACTATAATAACATTTAGACCACACAGAATTAATTTAGTTTTAAATGGGGTTGTCATTAGTGCTCCTGAAAGATTTTCTTGTCCTGGAATTTTTAATGAATTCATCATGAATTTAAATTTGTTCCATCTACAGCCTCAGGGCTAGCCCCGTGCTTAGAAAATGACCCATCTAGCATAATTTGATGGGTGCTGGAAAGGGCCATCTGCTCAAAAATACTTCCTGCCCTGCCTCCAGAAAATTCACTCTCATAGTTTCACTTAATAAATCAATAAATAATTTGATGGATAATCAAGTCAGTAAATATTTACAAAATACCTAAAATTTGCCAAAGATGAATAAGACACAGTTCCTGCCTGCCAAGAGCTCTAGGCCTGATACAAAGATAAGAAATAGATATTTAAAGATGCACAGATAACATAAGGTTATTTGTTAGAAGCCCTAAACTCCTATGCAGAGGAGGAACGTCCTAGTTCCCTAAGCTTTGCACTCACTAGGGAGTTTAACTGGGGAGGGAGAGAGAGTGTAATGATAGCTAGCTCATGATTAAAGGCACTGTGGAGTTGGACAGTCGTGGGTGCTAGCTGGGCGTCTTGAGTAAACTCTTCCCTCTCTAAGCCTATTTCCTCACCTGCAATAGAGTAAGAACAACATCTACCACCCCATGTTGATCTGCGACTTATTGAAATAGCGTTTGCAAGCACCTAGAACACTAGTGCAGCACCTGGAGTAGACACAGCGCAAGTGTTAGTTCCTGTGCTCTAGTCCGTTAACTGGAGTAGAATCAACTGTGACCCTCACTCTTTCATTCAGCTCTTCCTTCATCAAACACTTACCAAGCACTCACACTAAGTGCCAGAGACCAGGTTAGATGTTGGGATAACAGGACAAATAGAACCGTGCTCCTGTCCTCACACAGTCCTGCAGATTGCACAGAGAAGTCAACAGTCACAGCACAGCCTACTCTGTGCCAGGGAGAGGCTGGACCTGAGTGGGAGAGTCAGAGTGGGAGAGTCTGGAGGGTGACTGGAGTTGGCCAAGAGAAGACAGTAAGGGCATTTCACCAAGAGAGAACAGCATCACCAAAGGCCCCTAAGCCAAGGAGAGCAAGGTGCTGCAGAAGCAGAGGGCAGTGTGAACAGGTTGGAGACAGAGACCAGCTGGTGGGTAATTTTGTCATCCCTCTGAGAGGTGATTAGGACCTGAGGCCAACAGTGAGAGTAAAAATATTCCTGAGATGGGCACAGGAGACGCTAAAAGGAAGAGTTGAGAGGATCCTCGAAGAGTAAGATGTCAAAGATGGCTCTGGTTTCAGCCCTATGTCTGGACCTCAGAGCCTTTAACAAGAATAGCAATCTTCAAGGACAGCTGGCTTGGGCAAGGTGGCAATGGCCTCAGCTTTAGACCAGATGAGTTTGCAGTGACTCCCAGGAGGAGACACCATTCCTCTGTGTTCCCCTAGGCTCCCTCCAGTAGCCACCTGCAGAGTGCAATACCTGTGACCAGCAACAGACTACATCTATATGTCTTGCTTGTGTAAGATTCTTTGGAAGGGAGAATAGTGGGAGCACAGCTGTGGATGCCTGGAACGTATTTTAATAAGAAGGCGGAAAGGATTCTGGTCCCAGGTGTGGACATGCAGACAAAGTGCCTTCCTCTCTCCTAATGCCCTAGCCCAACCCCATCCCTGGGCCTCATGCTCTGTACTAGAGCAGAACAAGGTCATTACTGAGGCTACTCCAGGCTCCTCTCCCCTCCTTCTCTCCACCTTGGAGCAACTCAGTAAAGAAGGGTCCCTCTTGCCTCTAAGACCGTCTCTCCTCCTGCTACTGATCTGCCCCTGTGGCTGTGGTCATTCTTATTAATTACTCTCTCCCTTGGGTCTTCGAGTTCACTCTCCCTGTTGTATTCTTCTCTGCTTAAAAGGAGGGTCTATTGTACCCTGTCTTAAAAAATAAGCCTAAACCAAGCCTTCCCAAACCTTGCTACACCTTGAATTACCATCTTTTCTCCCCATCACTTCAACTGAATTTTTCTCCTTTTTTAATTAAAAAAATATAGTCACCACGTTGTACATTACAGCCCCAGGACTTACTCATTTTGCAACTTGAAGTTTCTACCTTTTGACCTTCTTCACCCAGTTCAACCGCTCCCAACCCCTGCCTCTGGTAACCACCAATCTTTTCTCGGTATGAGTTAATTTTTTTTAATTCCACATACAAGTAGGATAATACGGTATTTGTTTTTCTCTGTCCGACTTATTTCATTAGCATAATGCCCTCAAGGTCAATTCACGTTGTTGCAAATGGCAGAGTTTTCTTCTTTTTTATGGCTGAATAATCTTCCACTCCATAAATATACCACATTTTCTTTATCCATTCACTGTTGAAGGACACGGGTTGTTTCTGTGTCTTGGATGTTGTAAATAATGGTGATATGAACATGGGGTGCAGATATCTTTTGAGATACTGATTTCATTTCCTTCAGATAAATACCCAGACGTGGAACTGCTGGATCATATGGTAGCCCTGTTTTTAATGTTTTGAGGAACCTCCACACTGTTTCCCAAGGTGGCTGCACCAATTTACATTCCCGCCAATAGTGTACAAAGACTCCCTTTTCTCCACATTCTTGCCGACTCTTGTCTTTTTGGTGACAGCGTTTCTAACAGGTCTGAGGTGATATCTCATTGCAGTTTTGATTTGCATTTCCTTGATGATTAATGATGTTGAACATTTTTCATGTACCTGTTGGCCATTTTATGTCTTCTTTGGAAAAATGTCTATTCAGATCATGTGTCCATTTTTTGATCAGATTTTTTTTTTTAACCATTGAGTTGTATGAGTTCTTTATAAATTTTGGAAATTAATCCCTTGTTGGATATATGATTTGCAAATATTTTCTCCCATTCGGTAGGTTACCTTTTCATTTTGTAAATGGTTTCCTTTGATATACAGAAGTCTTTTCATTTGATGAAGTCCCACTTGTTTACTTTTTCTTTTGTTGCCTTTAGTTTTGATGTGAAATCCAAAAAATCATTGCCAAGACCAATGTTAAGGAGGTTACTGCGTATGTTTTCTTCTAGGAGTTTTATGGTTTTGGGTCTCATGTTCAAGTTTTGAGCTGATATCTTATATAGTGTAAAATAGTGGTCCAGTTTCATGCTTTTGCATGTGGCTGTCCAGTTTTCCCCACACTATTTATTGAAGAGACTGTACTCTCCCTCGTCATATAACCTTGGCTCCTCTATCATATGTTAATTGACCATATATGTGTGGGTTTATTTCTGGCATCTCTATTCTGTTTCACTGATCTATGTATCTGTTATTATGCCAATACCATACTATTTTGATTACTATAGCTTTACAATATAGTTTGAAATCAGAAAGTGCAATGTCTCCAGCTTTGCTCTTCTTTCTCTGTATTACTTTCTCTATTCAGGGTCTTCTGTGGTTCCATACCAATTTTAGGATTATTTGTTCTATTTCTGTAAAAATTGCCATTGGAATTTTGATAGAGATTGCATTGAATCTGTAGATTGCTTTGGGTATTATGGACATTTTAACACTGTGAATTCCTCTAATCCATGAGTGGGAGATATTCCATTTATTTGTGTCGCCTTCACTTTTTTCCCCTCAATGTCTTATAGTTTATGATCTTAAGAGGCCTTTCACCTCCTTGGTTAATTTATTCCTAGTTATTGTATTCTTTTTGATGAAATAGTAAATGGGATTATTTTCTTAATTTCACTTTCTGAGAGTTTATTATTAGCGTGTAGAAATGCAACAAATTTTTGTATATTGATTTTGCATCCTGCAACTTTATTGAATTTGTTTATTCTAACAATTTTTTTGGTGAAGTCTTTAGGGTTTTCTATATATAATATCATGTCATCTGCAGTTAGAAACAGTTTTAATTCTTCTGTTCCAATTTAGATGCCTTTCTGCAACTGATTTTTGTATATTGATTTTGTATCCTGTAACTTTACCATACTCATTTGTTATTTCTAAAAGTTTTTGGTAGATTCTTTAGGGTTTTCTGTATATAAAATCACATCATCTGCAAATAGTGACAGTTTCACTTCTTCCTTGCCAATTTGGATCCCTTTTATTTCTTTTTCTTGCCTGATTGCTCTGGCTAGGACTTCCAATACTATGTTAAATAAGAGTGGCAAAAGTGGGCATCCTTGTCTGGTTCCTGTTCTCAGAGGGATTGCTTTCAGCTTTTCTCCATTGAGTATGATATTAGCTGTGGGTTTGTCATATGTGGACTTTATTGTGTTCAGGCATTTTCCTTCTAACCCATTTGATTGAGAGTTTTTTATCATAAATGAATGCTGGATCTTGTCAAATGATTTCTCTGCATCTATTGAGATGATCATGTGGTTTTTATTTTTCATTTTGTTAATGTGGTGTATCACGTTGATTGATTTGCAGATGTTGAACCATCCCTGGGCAAAATCCCACTTGATCATAATGTATGATCCTTTTAACGTATTGTTGAATTTGGTTTGCTAATATTTTGTTGAGGATTTTTATATGTATGTTCGTTAGGGATATCGGCCTGTAATTTTCTTTTCTTGTAGTGTTCTTGTCTAGTTTTGGTATCAGGGTAATGCTCACCTCAGAAAATGAGTTTGGAAGTGCTCCCTCCTCTTCTGTTTTTTGGAAGAGTTTGAGAAGGATTGGTATTAATTCTTCTTTGAATGTTTGGTAGAATTCACCAGTGAGGTTGTCTGGTCCTGGGCATTTGTTTGTTGAGTGGTTTTTGATTACTGATTCAATCTCCTTACTAGTAATTTGTCTATTCAGATTTTCTGTTTCTTCATGATCCAGGCTTGACAGGTTGTGTGTTTCTAGGAATTTATCTATTTCCTGTAGGTTGCCCAATTTATTTGTTCATAGTAGTTTCTTATGATCCTTTGCATTTCTTTGGTATCAGTTGTAATATCTCTTTCTTTTCTGATTTTATTTATTTGAGACTTTTATCTTTTTTTCTTGATGG